TGTGCCCATTCTAACTGGTTTTGCTTGGCTTGTTCAGTAAGAAGTGGAACACATCTTGGCAAAGCAGCAGTATAACCCAAGTCTGAAAAGTTTGTCACGAATAGTCTGTTCACTCACTTCAAAATCTGGGTGTGTTTCTTCAAGCTGAGCCTTAATTTCAGCTGCTGTGACAAAATGATTCGAATTTACAATTCTACTGATCTGGTGATGCATTTGATGAGAAATTTTACATGGGCAACCAGAACAAGAAATATCTGAAATTTTGCCATTTTTACGAAGCTGGGCTACATATCATTCACAGGAGTGGAGAGGAACGTTGGTTTTTCGAGAAATTTCTGTTGGGCTTCGGTAGCCTTGCTTCCATAAATTCTTAACTTCTTTATGGTTTATTTTTATAGAATTTTCTTTCATTTGCAAAAGTAATATGCTTTATTGATCAATGTTTTAGCTCAAAGTAAACAAAAAACAATAACATGGAACTCAATGTGTACTGGTAGTGACCTAATATGTTTTAGTGGCAGCTGATTGTATCACAAAATGAGTTACATGGTGAAATAAACACCCCACCATTACTTTTCGGGGGACTGTATATTTTATCGCTTTCATGACAGTAGTCTGCATGTGCGTTTAAACTGATTGATTGTAGTTTATTGTAATAGATCTAGTTGGGGTTTACAGATGTTCTTGTAATTTCTGCATGCACGTTTGAACTGATTGATTGTAGTTTATTGTAATTGATCTAGTTGGGGTTTACAGATGTTCTTGTAATTTCTGCAACAAATTTGTTCACTTATTTGTACTGCATATGTGTCTTACGTAAATTAGCAGAAGCACTTGAATTTATTGCCTTTAATTCCAACTGCATTTCTTACAAAGAAATTCAAATTATACATCTATTATAAAATTAATTGGCTCAAACAAATTAAAACATTCAATTTTTATGTGCAAATGAAAAAGTCCTATTCTTTCAATGTCAGTGTGAGTCAGATATCAGTGCACTCCTTCCTAAGATCAGCCCAAATTGGCTGAAGCCAAGGAGTGTTCATTAAAACCTGACCCCATTGTCTCAATTCCCATGCCCTAATCTCCTCAGGCTCCATAACATCAAACATGTCATGCATTGGTGCAATATCATCATCTATTACTGGTGGCTCAACATTGCATCTCTTTCTCAACCTCTCCAACATCTCCTCAAAACTATAAACTTTTACTTCACCTCTGGGCTCACAACCAATAGCAACATTCATCAAAACCCTTTTAGCAAAAGGTGGTGCATCGGGTTTTCTGGCATGTTGAGGGACCCCATTTGTCAAGGCACTTTCAATGATTGTAATCACTTGTTTTAAATCATGGCAATCAAGCTTGTGAATCTTTTTCTCTTCCAGCCAATAGAAAAACCATGTCTTTTTTAGATCTGTAAGGACAACCATCACAGGTTGAGTTGCAAGTATGTTTGGTATAACCATCTGCACAATACACAGGCAAACTCGATAAGTCAGTCATGCATGATGGACCGACTTATCGAGAGAACCGACTTATCGAGAGAACCGACTTATCGAGAGATTTTAAATATTAAAACTGAGAAAAGGGCTTGGGAAGTTTTGGCCTTCTTAGGCCAAAATTGAATCATTGAGAGACCAACTTATCGAGTTTGCCTGTGTAGTTGCTTATAGTTATTTGACAATACCTACTTTTTGAGTTTGAAAACTATTTGAGCATTTGTAATGGCCATTGTATCACCAACAAAATGTTTATCTGTAATCAATGCATCAGCTGTTCCTTTGACTGTAAAATTAAGATATGACCCAGTGGGGAGACTAAGAGCATCATGTTTGGATGAAAGGTTATTGAATGCAAGTCCATCAGGAAGAGAGATAGATGTTGCCATCCAATTAAGGCATCTATCAATTTGTGCACTTTCTTGGTCCTTTGTCCAGCTATATGGCTTAATCTTTTTTGTACTTTGGGGGGCTTTGTAGTCAACTATTTCTAGCTTCAAATTAGTTTGCACAAGCAAGTCATTACAGCAAGCAGTGTCAATGCCAGAAATTGAAATTGAGGCATATGTTAATGTGTCTTCTTCAGCCAAAAAGGGATAATAATAAATGAAAATCAAAAGAGACATAATAATAAGCAGCATGCCAAATTTCAAACTGACCATCCTACCTGAGTCATGAAGTGTTACCTGGTTGAGCAGCTGTTCCTACAAGTGTTTGCTGCAACACCTCCATGTTCCACCTACAATTGCTGACCTCTTCCTCCAGATGCTTCTCTTTCTCCTCCAGCTTGTCCCTCTCTTCCTTCCACTCTGCCTACTGAGTCTTCTCCTTTTCCCACCTTTCCTGCTGCACCACAGTCCCTTCCTCTTTCCACAACTTATCTTCCAACCATGATAGTCTCAACTTACACCTTCCTTCGAACACTGTCACTGCAGCCTCCACCTTTGAACCAGGGAAAGAACTATAGTTAGGGAAAGACGTGTCAAGACGAGACGTGTCAGGTGTCTTATGAGAAACTTACATGATTGGATACGTTTTACTCGCATCATCTATGCATATAATAATAAGAAGATATCTTTTTGAATAGAAAAAAAGCTTATAATTGATTGCTAGTTCATCTTGTAATTGCGAGCATGAGGAACAGAAATTTATTTCGAAGCTAACTTTGGTTTTATGTTTATTGTTATAGTTATTTGATTGATTGGTGTAAACAAGTTTGGCATTCGAGCAGAACGAAGTAGCAAAAAGCCTGGCTGTCTGGGGCAAGAGTGAAGGCAAGGATTTAAAGGATATCACTGAAAAACTCAGAGTTAATAACCAATTTGTCTGAAGCAGAGGGTAATTTAGGTAATTAAATGCTGTCAAATTTATATCATTCTCTCTTTGTTACTAATCAACTACAGTTGTCTCGCGTTTTGTTTTACTTACAATTACTCGACACTTTTTCTCTCTTTAGCTGAGAAATGCTCGGATTATCGTAATATTCTCAAGGTAATAAAAACCCGTGAAGCGACACTTCGCGAACAACGATGCAAGAAAGAGTCTCTTTGGAATAAAATAGAAAAAGAAGAACGTAAAGCCAGTTATTCAAAACGTCCTGAGATCTATGAAGGAATTACCACCAGTGTTCGGTAACTTTCTAGCCAAATATATTCAATACTGGGACGGGAAGCTTTACCAAGAACATATATTTAAGTTACTTGAGTATGCTCAGCCAGAGTCGTTTGATGGTCAGTTCTATCTCCTAATCCTTGAAATTATAACATTGATCTACTTGTTACTTTTTTTCACTTTACCGGTAGACTTTTGCAATAACTTTCTTAAACCTCTGCAAAAGTTATTCTGTGTTTCATCTATCATTTGGAAGGTACAGTCATTCCTTGTACTTACATTCTCTCTCGATTGACTACTCACTTATATCTAATGTTTTAGGCAAGACTGCTACGATCCTATACTGCACTGCTTAAATATTGGGTATTGCACCATTGGCGATTACAAAATGGACAGGGAAGATCAGTAGATAATCAGAAAAACATGTAAGCAGGTTCTATTGCCTTTGTGAGTGCTTTGCGTTATCATCAACGTCATAACTTAATTGAATCTTATCGTAGGAAACACAACGAGGTTTTATTCGACATAGTCGAGATTATGTCAATTATGTCAATTCATTCGTGATGGACTTGTGCAATTGCATATGGAGAAATAGGCCTTTCAATAAGCTCGATCGAAATTCCAGAGGATTCCAGTTAGAGGAGTATGTATTTAAATCATCAATCGTTTAGTATGTCAACGAGAACCTGTTTAGCGAGATTATCGAAGTTATAAAAGAAATGTGTGGCGAAGAAGTTGCATCTTGCTTCTCACTCACGCATCTACCTGCGTTAGCGGCATATTCGAAACAATGCTTTAAGGTAAAAACAGCATTTGGCTTAACGTTAATCAAATCTTTCTTTAACACGCAATGTATTTTTCTTTACCCTCACAGGAATTGGAGGAATCGTCTCCAAATATAACGAGAAGGCTTAACCGTCCAGTTACATATGCTGCTCTCAAAGAGAATGAGAACGTAAATTTTTAAAAAAAGAATCGAGTTGTTTATTTCCAAGGTGATAAATCTTAACTAATCAAACGTTCTTTTTGATAGCTTGGCGGGTCAATGATATAACATACAGTGATTATCGAGTGCTCTTTTTGGATTATTTACTGGCGAAGGGCTTTGTTGGCTTGCATGTTTCCTGTACCAGTCTCTGGCATCTTTAGCAAACTCACGACATAGCAGTCGTTTAATTGAGATGAAACTATTTAATTGTCACAAAGCGAACGAATACTTAGAAGGATAAATTCTCTTGAGCCATGGTCGTAACAATGTTCCTTGAATAGTGTGTTGTCTGTAGATCTTTCATAGCATCACTAACCTTCCCATTCTTCAATTGACAATTGTAAATTTATCATGTTTCTCACAATCTTATCAATTGACTGATTTTCCGTGACATTTTAGTTATTGGTTCGTTTGTCAAGAGCAAGGTGAATGCAATGTATTAGTATGTAATCTAACAGCTTATAATAGGACTCAGGACGTAAAAATACATATTAATATTACTCTACGATTAGGAAGATTGTTCCTAAATGTATCTAATCTCTAGGATGCGTTATTAGTGGGCAGATGACCCAATATCCAACAAGTTCTTTCAGAGACATCACTAATAACGGTTTTTAATTAACCAATTTGGGCAAAGTCATGACGTATGATGATGTCATAATCAAATACATAATAATACGATAACCTAATTTGGATTGGAGCTGATAGACTATAATTAGAAATGAGTCTCTCACGTGAACACACATTTATCACGCGTAGCGCGCATCTTTTCCCTTTGCTCAGAACTCGAGTCAATCAAGACAATATGGATCCACCGTTTTCAGCTCGTTCGGCTAGAAGGAGGCGCACTCTGTTAGGCTCAATCGATCCAAACCAGTTTCAGAGTGGAATACCGCAGTCGGCCAAACGGCGGCCTTCAATGGGTCGTGCAGCTAACGAGAATACTGGCATACATGGGGCTGTAATTTCAAGACCATCAAAAGCCATGAGTCACGTAAGGTAACAAAATAGTAATTAAACTGTCCAAATTGTCTTTCCGTTGTCATTAATTACAAAACGACTACTGCTTTATTGATAAGGTTATCTTCAATGCCCAACTCTGTGTTTATGAAAGATCCTCGTCCACTACGTGACAAACACTGGCAGCAAGAAACAATTAGATATATAATGGAATATCTTGCTGCCTGGAACTATCCTCATGGAATATCAATGAAAAATTTGCAACAACCAACCACGAAAGATTTTCAGAATGTATTTAAATTTCTCTATGGCAGGATTGATGGAAACGGATGGAATTCGAACAGGAAATTCGAGGAGGAGGTGCCGGGGATACTGAAATCTTTAAGGTAAGTGCCAATCGTTATATCAAAGACTCAACCAAATTATGCTAACAAGGGCGCTAACGTTGGGTTTTGAAGATACCCATTTGTAGGTGAGATAAGTAAATCGTCATTATATGCGATTGGGTCAATGCACACGTGGCCTCAATATCTTGGCATGTTGAGATGGCTTGTTGAATTGGCTATTGTAAGTATGAATAAAGAAACAGTCTTGTTTTTTTATTATTTCTTTAACAGATCAATTTTGTCTATATTAGATAGCGGATACTGTTACGAAAATTGATGATTATGATCAAGTGCCATTAGAAGATACCACTCCGGAGCATATTTTCTTTAATTATGTGGCGCAAGCGTATAGTGATTTCTTAGCTGGGGCAGATGACTTTGGAGAATTGCAAACTGAATTGAACAGAGTCTTTGGTAAGACTTTAAAAGTCAAGAAGGGACAAACCAAGATTATTCGCTGTTTCTTATTATTCTAATATACTTCTACAGCAAAAAAGAATACTAGTATTTTAGAAAAAACCAAGGGCGTTAGGGAGGAAATGGAACAATTGGAAGCTGAGCTGGCGGCATTACAGAGAAAAGAGGTTAAAACTTGGAGCGTCTCTCTTTTTTAGATATAATACAGCATGACGTCTAACGGTAATTGTAAATGCAACTATGCTTGACGTTTTTAGCCACCTCTCGCGGGTCCAAAGAAAGAAAATTTAACATTGCAGGCAGACAAACAAAAATTTATTTCTTATATTGAGCATCTTGAACAGAAGAAGAAAAAAATGGCTGAGAGCATAGAAAAAAATGAGAGGGAAGTCAAAAATTCAGGTACTATTTTTTTTTACTTTAGTGAAATTAAAGTTTAGATGTAGTTCGACTATTTGTTAATTACATTGTCACAACAGATGAAGAGCTTAAGAAAACGAGAGCTAGAAGAACTAAAATACAAGAACTGGTAGACAGCCAACCAGTATCACACAATGATCTGGAACGTATGCATCAAGAACGAGAAATCCTACAAAGTGGTCTAGATGATATTGCGTCAAAGATCAAACAAACGTCTCATGATGTTAACGAAAACGAGATAATTCTAGAAAGAAATATAGAAACGGTAAGTAAAGAATTCGATGTCTGATATCTTAACAAATATTACATATTAATTCACACTTCGTCAATCTTCAGACAACGACATTGATTCAAAAATTCAATACTAGGGCAATTTGCATTGGCATAATACCACGAAATGCACAGTATGCAAAGGGAGAAGATTATGAGATAAGACTGAATAAAAATGTCGAGGAATTAGAAGACATGACAAATATAAATATAACAAATATTATTATGGTTAGTATGGTTTACGATACATTTATAGATGATGTGTCAGATAATATTTTAGCGAATGTCGTTAAACCTCTCTAGTATATTACTGACGTAGCTTTGGTATTTCAACAGCCAATGTTATCTGATCTTCGGAACGAACTCAACAAAGAATACAATGAATTGCAAACAAGGCAGGCTGACCTTGATCATGAGATACAAAAACAAAACGATGCAATTGCTACTAAACAAAGTGGACTGGAAGAGATTAACAGACAGATAAATGATTTGAATATAGCATATGAAGAAGAAAAAAAGGTAAATCGGTCACTTACACATTCTTGCATTATTCCATTTTTATTAGTTACTAAAATGTAAACTTAGACGATGGATCAAGAAGCTGAAACGTCGGCAGAATACCTGACTACAACGACGGCTAAATTAAAACACCTGAAAATACATGGAGCAAAATCTCTAACTGAAACGCAACAGGAATATCAGCAGATACAAATTGAGTAAGATCTACTAATGTGTATAATCATGCATTTATTTAATTTGATTAGTTATTCAAAGTTGCGTTCACATTTTATTTACCAGGTGCGATCGAATGGAACTAGAATATAATTCAAAAATTGAATCGGCCAACAAGCTGTGTGCCGCGATTGAAGAAAATCAACTAAAAATGAGACAACAGATTAGTGAATGTCTTGGATCGTTTAAAGCAATGACTGAAGCTGAACTTTATCCTGCTTCGAATAATTAACACTATTAAACCTTGATGCAGTCTAATTATCGCCTATTCATATACGATAATATGGGGATGATTTATAAAAATGGTGATCACCTGAAAATCAACTTTAAAGAAATTAGGCCATTTTCATGCCCATTTCACGAATTTAAGCGACTCTGGCGGTCTGGAACAAATTACATCTTTATAAGAATCATCGACAAACCTTATACAGATATGTATGACTTGTAAGCAAAGAACCGTAGCGTCGTCGCTATTATGTGATGATCGGCAAGAATTTTGGAATATAAATAGACTTTCTTGCAAATCTACTCCTTTGTGCCACCAAACTTTTAATGAAAACTTTACTGCTACGTTGAAGACAGTAGAGAGCATTCCCAGGTATACAAAAACTCAAATTCGACCCCCAAATCACAATTACCAATTTTCATATATCATGCCAACAAAAGACTTGAATAATAGTTTGTTGTATATAGATAGGTATCACATTTACCCCGATTACCGTAAACAAGTCGACTCTCCCCAAAGTTGCTGGTCCCATTCTTTTAATTTCCATATGCGGTCGGAGATAAACTCATAAGTCTTTCCACTAACGGGATAACGACAATACTGTGCACCAAACAAGGCTTTTTTCTTCTTTATATGGCAACGAACCAAATTTGGTAAAACAAATAGGCTGCGATATTTATATATAAAGACTTTGACTATTTTACACTAACTTGTCGAACGTGCATTCTGATTAACATGATTCGACTAGTTTTTATGTGGTAGTCAAATTTAAAATATTCAGCTCAGGTAGATCACATATCTTGAATAAAGTAAGTCGTACCTGTAACCATGATGGATCAACAGCCACTTTCTGTCTACGATTCCCGGAAAAACGTTTTAATCTCTTCAGTTTCATGAGGTGACTTAACCAATTGGGGATAGTCAAAGAAATTACGATAAAAAAAACGAAATCATGGGCATGGTAAGACAGAACAATCCATTTTTTGTAGGAATACCTCATTATCAGACATTGAACATGAAGAATAAATTCTAGAGAAATGTAATATTAATATGTTCTCTTGCAAACATAGTATTAGTCCAGATGTGTGCAGATAATTGCCAAGTGCGTAATTCTGAAATGCGAGTGAACGAATCCCCAATTTCTATGATGGCAGCAATGGTTTTGGCACAAACTCCATAAGTATAATACACGTATATTTCCTACAGCAAAGCCTGACATTGATTTGTTGTGACTAAGTTGGGTTCTTTCTGTGCGCTGTTCTTCAGAACGAGAATAATCAAGACAATGGTGTTCTACAAAAAAGGACAATGCAGGTGAATGAATATATACATTCTGGCGGAGAATTATTATTATGAACAATTGTAAATCAACGCCGAGAGGTAGTGAAATATTGACTGAACTTGCTGAAGCGGATAGTAATGTATAAGAAACTATTCGCCAACTGTCATGCTTAAAAGAGGCGTTCACCAACATATACAACGGTGCAAGAGAAGCGGAATTTCCTGATTCGAAGACGAGTACAGAGGCAACCATTTCCGGATCGTATAATGCTATAAATGTAATCATAGCTTTATGTGTAATCGATGTATCATAATAAACGGTTTTGTTTACTGTAATTTACAATGTTTCATAATTGTTACCACATGAAGATAATAACAATCATACTTGAGTAGGTTGTATCAATAATTATGGTCTTGCGAAATCAAATTATTATCACAAGATGTCAATTAATATTTAATCTGTTGACTATTTATTAAAAGCATACATTCAACCTTGTGAAAGAAGCAAATATTTGGTTTCTTATTTTTAGATTTCAGCATAACTAGAAGTTACATGTTTTGACCAAAATCTTACACTTGTATGCTGAAGAATACCACCAAGATATCATTCTATTTACATATTCTTCAACCGTGTAAATCAAGATAGGATTGACACGATAAAAAGCCTTGTATACGTGTTATTTTTGAATGTTTCATCAAATCATGCTGTTTTTTATGTATAACCACAGCTTAACTTGTTAGTATTAGGTAGCTTTCAAGCCCACAAAGATGCGATTGAGGTTGTCTTTACTATTACGCCTACAACATTAATTTCACCCTGTACAACAATGTAATTAAAGGTAAAAAACTACAACGTCACACAGTTTTCATGAAGTTTCGATCATTGTGCGGGGGGTTTTAAACCGATATATTATTTCAAGTTCTCCATATTTTGCAATCCTTTCCGTTCTGTGTTCTTCCGCAGTTTTATGGGGGTATTTATCGCGCTGAGCTGTTCTGAAGGCAAAAAAAGAAAGCCTTAACCAACTACTATCTTATCTGTATTACTTTAATATCGTCGAACTTTTTTGTATATGAACCCCAGTTAATGTGAATAGACTGACTTAAAGACTTTCTTGAAGCTACATACCTAACAACATTTGTACTACCAAGGCTTTTTTGCTATTCCTTTTCCATAGCCCTTCTCTATCTTTATTAACTTACCTTGGCACACCAAGTAGCGTGTGCCCATACAACACTCACCCATCCTGGAACGCGACTCGCACTCCCGCAGGGCTAGAAGCAGGAGCCATTCCACATCCAGTACTCAGCATTCATCTTCTCCTCTTACTATAGCGAACTCTGCTTCTGCTGCTGTATCTACGACCTACTCTAATCCTGCGATCTCAGCCGAAGCTTCTGCATCCTATTCTTCGCTCTTGACGTCTCCTTTAGATACGAGCTCTGTCTTACATAACGACGAAATTCAGCGACATACAAGAAGTGTGCATCGCCGAGACGAGTTTGAAGAGCTTTCGAATAGTAACTCGGACGAAGAACTACACAGAGCAAAACGACCAAGAATTGAGGGATTGAATACGGAGACGAAGATAAATATGCGGATCAATCAGAATGAGAACGGAGTTGGAGGAAGTGCGAATGGGATTTCGCACGTATCTAATGGGGATACGAAAGAATGTGCCAATGGACAGGCTGTTGTTAATAAGAATGAAAATCCAAGGAAGAAAGAGCTTGTGAGACTGATTGTACAGTCTTTGCAGGATATGGGCTATAGGTGGATATTATATAATATGTGGACTTTGGTAGACTTGGTTCATGGCGAGGATATCTCTAGCTGGAGGACGTTGAATGCTAACTCGCATCAATATTATAATTTATTTTGTCCCTATAATTGACAGTCAATCAGCATCATTGCTTGAGAGCGAGTCTAGTTGTAAGCTCGAAAGTCAAGCCGTTGCGCAATTCAGGGAGGGGGTGCTGAAAGGCGATTGGGACCTTGTAGAAAGTCTTTTATCAACGTTGGAATTGGATCAGAGTAAAGACGCAGTGGTAAAGTTATAAACTTTTTTCTCGTTAGCGTCTTCTACGTGGCTTTTTTATATGAACGAATATGAAATTATGCTGAACCATTTTTGATAATAGGTCGTTAAGTTTCTGATTAGGGAACAAAAGTACCTTGAACTGTTGGAAATTAGACAATTATGGGAGGCGCTGACGGTGTTGAGAGAAGAACTTACTCCACTTAATCATAATATTCCACGACGTCATGTGCTTTCTAGGTACATGTCCAGAATATTCATTATATACTTATATATTCTTGATTAGATCTGAGTATTTAGATTTTTTCACTGTATTATAATATTTATATAACAAATAGCTATATGATGTGCTCAAGTGCTGAAGACTTAAAGAGAAGAGCGGATTGGGATGGTGCAAAGGGAAACTCACGCCAGAAGTTGTTACTGCAACTGCAAAGTGAGTTTTATTATGCAATGATCATACCACGATATTTATCGACGTACTTACATTTTGTTACCTACGCAGAATATATTTCTCCATCAGTTATGGTTCCAGAACATCGGTTAGAGACGCTTTTAGATCAGGCTTTAATGCTGCAAAGAATACAATGCCTATATCATAATTCAGATGACCATATTACATTATATTCAGATCACAATTGCGACAGGTGAGAAAGTTTCTGATATCTATTCACATATAATTGTATATATGTGTATGAGAATTGTTGTCTTTTTATGGAATGGTAATCTTGTGCTCATTCTATCAGTAGTAATACTGAGTCAGAATTATACGCTCATATTTCATATAAATATGTTATAGGTCGCAATTCCCGACAGTCACTACTCATATATTTGACCAGCATAAAGATGAGGTGTGGTATGTCGCGTTTTCTAACGGTGGAAAATATCTTGCATCAGCTTCAAGAGATAAGACTGCTATTGTATGGAGCTTGGAGGTAACTAAATTCGTGCATTACGTTATGTCTGTAATGACAACTGTGAATTATTTAATGACATTCTATTAACTTTCTCACAGAATTGGGAGTTGGTACATATACTTGAGGACCACGAAGACTTTGTTTCATTCTTATCATGGTCTCCTGACGATTCAATGCTATTGACTTGTGGACAAGATCATCTGTTAAAGCTATGGAATACAAAGGTAATAAATTATTGCATAATGGATGGAACTATATGACATGAACACTCTGGGCTGAGATTAATTGAGTGTACCCAATGTTCTTCAAAAAAGACGGGAAAGTGTGTTATTACAATGTCAGAGCATAGTGATGCGGTTACTGCATGTGCCTGGCTTCCCGATGGAAAATCTTTTATCAGTGGGTGCCAGGACAAAGTTACAATATTATGGGTATGTTACAATATCACTCAAACATAACCTGACTGTCTTGTATCTTACGCTTCTATTGAATTAACGTTAACTCGCTCCAACATGGTTTCTTCGTACCTTTACCAAACCCCAACTTTATGTTTTCTCCACGATAGAGCCTAGATGGCCATATTTTACATAAATGGACAGGTACACGTCTTATGGATCTCGCAATAAACAAAGAAGGCACTCGAATGGTGGCTATTTGTCACTCTATGAAAATACATATTTACAATTTAATAACAAAGATGGAAGAGGAGTATGTCGAGAACTTTCACATCTATCGAATTTATGCATTATTGTACACGAGACTCATGGAATATTTACTTTCCCAGACCAATTGAGGAGACAGCCCATGTCACATCTGTTTGTCTATCGGATGACTGTAGATATGCTTTGGTGAACCTAGCGACGAGTGTATGTGTTATATATAGTAAAGTAACACGTGATTATATAGTTCAAAGTATTGACTTTGATTACTTTACGTAGGAGATACACCTTTGGGATATTGAAGAAAAACATCTGGTTCGAAAATACTTTGGTCAGAAACAAGGAAAATATGTCATTAGGTCTTGTTTTGGCGGACTTGGCCAAGGTTTCGTTGTCAGCGGAAGTGAAGGTGGGTAGCCGTAAACTAATGCAATTGAGTCAATACTTCGCTAATATACACATACGGTCCGACTTTTATATTCTAGATTCTAATATCTATGCATGGAACCGACAACATACTACGCTGCTTGAAGTGTTGTCTGGACATCGTGGAATAGTAAATAGTGTGAATTGGAATCCAGTCGACCCTCACATGTTTGCATCGGCCGGTGATGATCACACAATTCGAATGTAGGTGTATTAAACTGAAGTGTATACGTCACATTTATTGCACACATATTCTGAACAATTTTCTTATTGTAGATGGGGAATATCAGATTCCGCTGACAAAAAGGAGAAGACAACAACGGCATGAAGTACGCTTCTGCTATAATTAAATCAAACACTTTTATCTTCTCCTCCCTTCTCACCTTCCACGTCCCCAAACCCCACGCAAACGTTCCAATCAATAGACAATTTCAACAATAGGCTGAGTAACTTCTACAAACATTAAAGAGCATTTACATAATCTATTGATAAATATTCATTACACTTGACAGTTGATTTAATGTTTTCATTTGTACATTCTTCAAGTATTGCTGCAATTATATAACGAAAAAGGTAGACTAGAAGATTATCGTGAACGGTAGAGAGTAGTCGCGCGAGTTAGCCTGAAGAAATATTTTGGAATCATTAGCTTTTGCGGAAATTGTTAAAGGTTTTCCTTACATTTTTGGTAACTTCTTTCTTATTATGCCCCTCTCATTGCTTATTTCTTTCTCCAATAAAGTTGCGTTGTAGATATAAACTCTCTTTGTAATATTAATGGCACGGGCTGCGCAGTACATGTTGATTTTTTTTACATATATTTGTCAGTATGTTTACCGAGAATGTTCTTCAATCGGCACTCGTCCATTTCTTATCCAGGTAGCTCCTGGCCATAGCTAGGAAAAAGAACCAAATAAACAATTAGCTTGTTGATCTCACATTATTTTACTCCAACGATTTTTTTTTTTCAGACAACTTACTCTTGCGAATACTTTGCCGCGAATTAATGCATATGGCACTGGACCATATTCGCGCGAGTCAGTCGAATTACTTATATTGTCACCTTGCAGCCATACGTGTCCACGAGGAACCTTACAAAGGATCGTGTTGATGAATGCAATTAAGTGTAATTTTGTAATCAATAAAGAACACTTGACTTACAGTTATGTATGTTCGCTCAATTGCTGTTGGATCGGTGCAAATGATATCACCTGGCTGATAATACGGCTGTCAGCACATGGTTCTTTATGTTTTGGAATAATTTGGCAAACTTACCATTCCAATTATTCGTTTCATCACGGCACGTCTTGGATTCCTTGGCGATATGCACACGACCACATCTCCAGTATCAAGATTCATCAAGCGGGGACTTATTCTCTCATATGCCACAATGTCGTTTATTATATTGAAAGTAGGAAGCATGGACGGGCCCATACACTATTGACATTTAAAACAAGATCAATCTCTATTATTATACACATGGGAATAGTATTTATTGGAAAACCTACCATTGTAACCGTGCATACATGTTCTTTGAATAAATGTATACAAGCGGCGCCTTTTATGATATTTGTTGTAAATCTGGCCAGACGTTGGAAGTTCATTAAATCAACATCGAAGTTACATTTACTAACTTGTATATCTTACCAACAATGGAACCAATGAGACGTTCCTTCGTATTTCGATGATGTTGTAAACCAATAGATTTAATTTACTACGGATCATAATATTAAACATGTTACTTATGATGTTTGCAGCCAATGGTTGAGCAATGTTTCCAGAACTTCGATAAGAAAGAGCAGTAGTAGTAGGACTGTGTATCATAGCCCTTTCCCTTTTTGCTAAACATCACTGATCCTCTCTCTTCCATTTACCATTAATATCTCGAAAATACAAGCGCAAATGAAAAGCTTTAATTTCAGTTACTTTAATATTAACGGCTTTTACGAGTAAATCAATGCCTGGAGAATTTAACGTATATACAAATCAGTGCTCGAATTCACAACTCGCTCCTGAAGGAGAATACGTTTGGGAATATTCGTCTGGATAAGGATTATTGCCGATTTAGCAAATAGCCAAAAGGTAAGAGGGACCATTACTAACCGCATCGCTAACATTCACATCTTTGCAGTGGATTCCCCCAATGGAAACCCTATACTATTTTCTCTCTTCATCCAATTATCCGTTACGCCCTTCCTTTCACATTCCTCAAAATGAGAACCTATATTGATGATATTTACCTCATCCTTGGCTTTACCGGCACACGTTTCAATACAATATACCTTTAACCACATTACTGTATGCTGATAAAATTGAAATAACAAAATTTGTGTAACCATATTTTAACGTGACTTTTCTGACGCAGATCGTAGCGTAAATGTCAGTGAAAAGCGGATAATGTCCGACAGCAGAAACTCGCAAGCGTCCGAGTTGATACAGTTACTTCATGGCATTGCGGATGATCAAGCAAGAAGAGGTTCGTAGAGAACAGAGGCAAGGATTGAAGTTGAATAAATTGTTGTTAATCACAATTTTTATATATAATGGACCTATACTTTGTTGATCTAATCTACTTGAACTGTTGGTATTGCGATTGCATACAGAGGGCTTTGTTCATCGTACGTTGGCATGACTTTATCGGTGAGAATATGAAATGATTATATACTAAAGATATACTTATACGCTTATAACTAAGGTGGCATCACATGCAATAATTGCAGTACAGTGAGTTAAAGACTGTTTATTCTTTATTCTTGTTTCGTCATTTTAATTGGATTCTATATTAAGCAACTTTCCCTCACCATAGACTCCAATTAGAGGTATCCGCTACAAATGTGCTAACTGCGTAGATTACGATCTATGTGAACAGTGCGAGTCGCAAGAACTTCATTACAAGACGCACGTATTCTTGAAAATAAGAATCCCCATTCCACCGTTGGCCAACCCTCGATCTGCGCTATTACACCCTTTTTATCCTGGTGATTGTAAGTAATGGGGGAAATGAATCTCCTAACAGACTTGAGCGCATTAATATGAAGGTTGGAAGACGCAAGGAGAGAGGGCCGGAATCTTAATTCACACATATGAAAACTTAATGCAGGGAAACAAATGCCACCATTGTCGAGTCCTGATATAGAGTCAATTAGAGAACTCGAACGAATCACCCATTGTAAGTCACGTTTTTATTGGTACTAGTAGTGAGACACTTCTTTAGTTAAACATCAACGTCTACCTCTGTCGCTTGCGTTCGTCTCACGCTTGCGCGAACATTCTAGCCCGACTATTTCTCTTACACCTTATTTACGCGTTCAACGTTCCTCATAACTCTTACTAGTCGACTCAGTAGAACTAGAAGGCCTTTGGGAGCAATACAAGTCCTTAGCTTCTGCAGAAGATGGGATTGACGGCATAGATAAATCAGGCTTTGAAGCATGTCTGGGTCCATTGGGTCTTGAGGGAAATGTCATAGTCGATCGGACATTTCAATGGTTTGATCAGGATAATAACAAACTAATTAATTTTCGAGAATTTGTGTGCGGATTGTCGGTATTATGGAAGGGAACCCTCTCAGAGAAAATTGATTGTAAGTATGGCGGGGAAGGGAGGAAAGAAAAATGAGTAGTGAGCCCTAGTTGATCGGGTTCAGTGGCGCTTTATCAAATTTTTGCTGGTGTTGATATTGGCTGCAATCTCTTGAGAATTGCTCGGGAATACTAATATCTTTTAACAAATTTTAGTTGCATTTAAAGGCTACGACATAAACGATGATAAGGCGATTTCCAAACTTGGACTTCGCACCGTGATTAAAGCATGCAGCGAAATATCGCGTATTATGCTTAGTTCTGTTATAAACATAATTTCGCCCTCTCCTTTTGAACAATATTCCTCACTTTCTCACGATTCGTCTTCCTCATTTGATTCGTCATCCAATGAAGTTGATTCGTCGCCGTTCGATACTCAGTTTGATTTTATTCCCTCTCTTGAAAGGATGACGATTTCTGGAATAGACGAGATTGTAGAGACATTATTCAGCAAAATTGATGAGCGTGGAAAGGGGCATATTGACTATGAAGACTTCTGTGAATACGCAAAAAAGGATAGTTCTTTGGTTGATTGGTATTCTGCGTTGGGCACGTGAGTATTTAATTTGAGTAGTGGGGAATCGGGGATTAGCGTCTAACCTGTTCTATTCTTGTCGTATGTAGGATTTTCTGAATTTGAAGACCGATGAAATGATTTGTTAAAATTAAGAAGGCAACGCAGCATATGTTGAACCGGTATCGATAAAGAGTGCTTCCATTTAGAATGTTTCGCGCTCAAATTTTGCGACACCCGGCATATAACTTGATCTGACTGAGCACTAGTCTATTTGATATTAGATGTCGAATTAAATCGGAATCCCGTATGCAGTTTTGTGCCTTTCTTTATGGATAATCGACTTTGAGTAGTTCTCTTTGCGGGACTCGAAGGGAATTGAGATTTATGAATGGCAGTTTTCTTTATTTTTTGATAAAAGATTAGTAATTCTTATAATACCTTTCAAAACAATATTTAGTAGTTTTGTCTACTTGAAAAACGTGAAATGATAATAATTAAATAACAAAAATTGAGTTTCCTAATGATATTATTTGACTTTACTTGGCAGAGACATATCAAAGGTGTTGGCCCAATTGCAGAATCTTTCGACCCCGTAATCAGTGTGCAAGATAGATAGTAGGATACTAATGCAAACAAGCAGCATATCAATAAACCGAAGGAACTGTCGATTCAATATATCTCACGTTTGAGTCAATATTACACGAGAAATATAAGGTATATTTTATAAGAAACAGATGTTCCATTTTAACTGCCAACGTGTCGCTGCAGCATATATGCTATATTTCGCGTCTGTTCTCATATGATTATCGCATCACGTATCGATAAAGGTCGGTTTGTCGATAATACAGTAACGTGCAAAAGTATCCTACCGGTTGTATCATCTAAACGTACATAATAATAACTCCTTAAATTTTCC